CTCTAAACTTAAAACTAAATTAACATTAGTCTCTCCTTTTCATTCTGTATACAGAATGACAGGGATGCACTGGTGTCACATTTAAGTTTAGCTTTAGAGAATCATGCCAGAATCGACATCAATATCATATTAAATCAGTGTGACTGCATGATTTTTATTATTAAATTATTTTATTTCATTTTTCCCAGGATGGAAAAGAAGTGGATGGCAACGAAGATCAGGTGATCCAGTAAAGAATGAAATAGATTTTAAAGAACTTGACAGTGTAATGGATAAATTAGAAATTAAATGGATTCATGTGGATGCTCACAAAGGTATTCATGGTAATGAAATGGCAGATAAACTGGCTAAAGCTGGTGCAGCTATGTATGGTCTTTGATAATTGCGATGAATGTAACTATGTGTTTTGATGACTGCATGCATTTTGATCAGGCGCCCTCTGAGTGAGTGCTATTAATTGCTGCACCCTATCTGGTCTGTCTATTAGTGCAGCATGCCCCACTGAATAGGGCACTCTGGCTGATCAGCAAGGAAAAGGAACCCAGCATTTATTACTACTCTATTTATACTCCATATAAAGTGTGCATATGCCGGTTTTTTTTTATTTGTAAAATAGAGCAATGACTGTTTGTATACCAACATATTTTTTTTATCACTTTCTTTATATCTGTTTGATTAGATCAACGAATTGGCAGTACAATGACTGAATTATACAATAGATTATAGGTTAGATAGCTTGCGGCAAGTACTAACTTGAGGCTTGTTCACATTTGTATCAATTTTATTTGGCATATTCTTAATTTTAATATATCCATGAATTCAATATTAAATCTGTTTTTCACACTTCCACACCCAATATTTTTAAATATGGAGATAAAAGGGTAATAAAAAAGGAAGGACTGGGTACTTTTGGCCACTAAATAAATATTGCTAGAATAGGATATTTATGGAAGATTTAAGTTTCTCGGTTAACCCAAAATTCACATTGTAATATCCCAGAGTAGCAATATGATTTTTTTTATCAAATATACATTTATGTGGAGGATAACTCATCTAAGTTATGTCTTTGAATTGATGAATAAAACTGATAATCCAAGCACTGGAAGCCAACAAATTACTTTCCTTATCTATTAGGTTTTGAAGCACACATTGCAATAAATTCTGTTTTTAATTCATACAGCAAATATGACTGTCAAAGAAAATAGGCTGTCTTCCAGTTTTTTGCAACTAAACACCTTAAAGTTATTTGTAGCATAGAGGTTTTATTGAATGTAAGTAACAAGGGACTAAGAAAATTGTACGTAATTTGGAGAAATTAAATCAATTTCAAATACCTATACATTCGTTTTTATTTTCCTGCAATAAAAACGCTTTAATTCAACAATAACAGTGCAAAAATAATAGTACCTCATATTATTAGTTTTAATTTATAATACGCCACATCATACAAGACAAAAGTTAATAAAATCATGATGAGAAAAGGAAGGCAAATAATAGCAATGAAACAAAGGAAAGAAAGAAATAGTAGAGGATCCATACCTAAATCTAAATCCTGGACAGACTAGGTATATTTAATTATTTAAAAAAATATGTTGCAACATCAACATAATAAGAAAACATTGTCCTGAATTAAAGTATACAAATGTGCAGCCTTTGGGTAATGTAACTGGCATTGACATACCTGTTTATACCAGGCAACCCAGTAGTCACCCAGGTAAAAAATAGATAACCGAACGGTTACACATTTTATACGTTTTTATACTGTAAGCCGGGACTAGGGTTACCATCCGTCCGGACTTTTTGCCTTGTGTCCGGACTTTGTCCGGATTTCTTTAATTAGATGGAATATGAGTAAATCTACTTATTAAGTTATATCAAATCAATTAAGTCAAATAATCTGTATTATGTTCTCATTAATTTAAAACAAAATGTAAATTATCTTTTTAAATCATCAACGAGACCCCTCTCGCGATGAGAGCGTCTGCTACCACGCGTATAATATCACTGTAACTAAATGCGTATTTGCATTTCGTGACTAAAATGTCCGGACTTTTATCGAAATGTCCGGCTTTTTGGCAGGACTTTTTAAATGTTTAAATAGTAACCCTAGTCGGGACAAAATTCTCTTATTATCTTGATGTTACAACGTTTAATAAAAAATCTTTTATTGATGTGTAACATCTTTCCTTTCCTGCAATTTGTAGGAGTGATTTCGTGAAATGAGACGGAAGTGTGTAATAGGAAGTCGCGAAAGCGCGCACTATTTGATTTAATTTTAAAATAATGTTCAAATTGCTTATATTTTTGTAGTAGGTTCTATTTCTTTTTTTACTAGTATAAGGTGGGGTTTTCGAATGTTACACATCATACACGACTACTGTAAAGCTCGCTCGTTTTTTTATAAATTATAAATAGTCTGTCCAGGTTTTTTTAGGCAACATTTTAAATATATTTTCTTATATACTAAATTCATAATGATAAAGATAAAATAATTATGTTGCATTCTATTATCAGCTCTGCGAAGGTCGATTTGGGTGCGAATCTTAGGAAGGTAGGAAGGATCTCCTTTTAGGAAGGAAAAGTTAAACTTCGTTGTTCGGATAGGAAATAACCCCGAATTTGATCTCTAAACGAGTTGAGTGCCTTTCGATTAGTTTCCAGTTATGAGTTCCATAGACGACAAGCAATACAGACAACATGTACAGATAAGGAATAGGAAATAAATCAGTTTAATGACTTGGAAGGAATTTCAAGGTTAGGTTGGAAGACGATCGCAAAGCGCTTTATTGTTTAAGTAATGTGGATAATCTATCTATTCATATAATAAAATGGTAGGAAAGTCAAAACTGTACATTGTATATTTTTTTCTAAAGAATACTTGGGGTGTGATCTACAATCGATACCGAAGCCAATAATATATTTTTTTCCCACAAAGAAAAACAACATAATAACTATATTTCAGCCAAAATGCAATGCAGTTTGTCGGCAGCAATTCCCGTGACACCTTTATTTATCGTTTTCCCTATTTACAATTGTTTGTCTTATCTATCAGGACTACACTTAATAAATACTTAAACCATAAATTTTTCCGATATAAAAAGTAACCGTTTTTGTCTCAATCCAGTTGATAAACTACGAGTATATATGCTTGCTAAATCTAATAAAAATCCATTCAGTAGCTTTTGCGCGATTGAGTAACAATTAATATATTATATAAATTCAATATTTCCATTACATACATTAATAAGCTGGTCATGGGCATAGTGATAGATATAGTTTTTAGAATTTTTGTCTGTATGTATGTGCGGGATAAACTCAAACCTCCTTATTAATAAACGCGGAATAAGCTCTGACTAGTTACACCGTGTTTTGTTCCTATCACTCAAATGCCATTTGTCATTCAATGAACAGAGACAAAACATGAAATAACAAATCCAAGCTTATTCTTCGTTTATTAATAAGGGGGGAAAGTACTGCATGGATATATTATCTTATATATTATAAGTCGGGTCAACATATAGGCTACATATTATCATGCTATCCCCTGCGGGGAACGAGCAGTGAACCTTTAGGCGTTGAGCAGAGGACGGGGCGGGGCGGGCATTTTGTCCGCGAAGCAATAAAGACCGCGTCTGCCCGTCGATGTCTGCGGCTGCCCGCGCCGCGTACACAAAGCACACGACGGGCAGAGGCGGTCAGTTCAGAACGTTCATTCTACAAGCGCGTGGCGCGGACTGAGCTGACCGCCCCGCGCCGCCGTCTGCGTTACTGCATATAAACTGGTTTGTATGATCCGCCACTGCCCGCCGAACATCTGCGGCGCGGTCTTTTTGCCCTCTGTGTGCGTTTGAAGTATAGGATTCACTTTGTGCTATTATTCGCGGCGAAATTGACCGGCCCGCCCCGCCCCGTCGTCTGCTAAGCGCCTTATTTCACACTAACTCCACACGTACGAAGTCGCAGGCGGCCACTAGTAAGTAGATAAGACAAGTACGGAGTAAAGAAGCTTAAGAGTGTGTAAGTCCCTGCGCCGGTGAATAGGGAACTTGAGACGTCTTCATATTTATAGAGGTTGAAAAGGGTATCGGAAATCGGATATATAGGTACGTTCTATCTTATTTAGGAGTTCTTCAGAATGAAAGGTGTAGTCAATAACGGACAGTAAAGAGTATGCACCCGTGATTTTGGTAGGGAGCAAAAAGTTGCGTAAGACGGTGAAAGTTGTGAGGGAAACAATAGTACTGAATAAATTTAAGATGATGATGACTTAGATTAAAACAAAATGGGAAGATACGGTACGCTCATACTAGCATCAAATATAATGTGCATTAAAAGTGACTTTCAGTGTTTAAATAATGCCTTATATTGTTTTTGACTACTCGATCATCTTACGGAGCTCCGTGGATCGTCCCAAGTACCTTTTGGACAGGTTTCGGCCACGATTTTGTTCGTGATGTTGTATCTAGGGTATTTACAGTTACCCCAACATCAACTACTGCCAATGAAATAAATGCTCAATTTGTAGCATGTTATGATTTTTCAGCTGGCAGTAAATATTGAATGTGTGCTGAGTGATCAATCTACTAAAGATTCCTCCAAACATTTGCTTACTATGGTAAAAGCTGTGTTCCTGTCAATCGGATATCTTCCATTTCTTCCAAATAATTGTAAGATTGATTGTTTTGCAAGTTAGACTTTATCTCATTTCGGTCAGCACTGGTTAAATCGGGAGCGAAAACAATTTCGTCTCGTTTAAGGCGCTGCCTGCATCTTGTGCCATAGGTTTACCTCTTATAGCACAGCACCCTCAGTTGTCTGCATAAATCGAAATTGCCCAAATTGCGAATACAATAATATAAACTATTATAAAGTTGAATGACCTGTTGAGCTGCCACACACCTTCATTTGACGGTTTCAGCCAATGACCTAATAACAAGGACTTTCTATAATTAGAAAGTCCTTGGTTTCAGCCTCTTTAGCAGAAAAATAAAAAACAAAAATATTTCTGACATCTTTATTGAAATGTAACTAAAACATTTCCGACCTTATTTACTAAAAGCTCATAAAATTAATAATAAAAGACTATTTACACGATACGGCTCTTTAACAGAAACACCATAAAGAAAGAGTGGACAATTTGTATGAAAAATATTATTTGTTTGATAAAACATGTTTCTAGTCGCAGGCAATGGAAAATGTATTTGTTTAATGCTATCATGAAAAAACAGTTTTAAGTGTCCCTTTTACAAGAAGCATTACATTATTCATAATTTCTTTCGTCACTTAATAGTACCTAATTCTTGAACTGATCATGAATTATAATAATTTGTTTGAATATCACAATGAACCTTTTTTTTGTAAAAAGTATTTACTTATGGTATCATAGTAAAAAATTACATTTAATTTAGATTTTAGACGAAAATTTACAACCATGATTAATATTTCATAATTAACTCAATAATATGCATTAACACCTGCTTAATTGAATAACATAGTTACAAGATTAAATTTAGTACAACTGTACTTAAAATAAAACTAAAATAATGTATAACAGTTTTTCTATTCATGTTCATCATTAAGCAGTCTTGAAAATAGGGCAGAAACTACATATTATACTGACATTGGTAAGGCAAAGCAAAATTTATTTATCACTACTTGCGATAATATTTCTGATGATATTATCTTAGTGTTACACAGAAGCCTATGTTGTTTATTATGTTCTTGTCAAGCTTCCGTGTAATTGGCTGTTAGTATGTGTTAAAAACGCGCGCGTGAAAAACAGCCAATCACAGTACACCTTATCGTAGGAGGATAATCGAATGATACTCTGACGCGTACTATATGCAGCCGTTATAATCGAAGTTGTCTGGTCATAACTACTTAAAAACATTAAAATCGTATGACTCACAATATTGGAAAGTATTCCACCGGTTTACGTAGCTCCGTATTGCGTGAAAGTACATATTAATTTTGCGAAAACACAATAAAGTAAAAGTAACAATTTACCATAATTAAATAACAAAGGATTGAAAAAAAAACGATTAGGTTGCATATATTTTCCAAAATATCCTTGATACATTAAAAATCAACATTTATAACATTCCAAGTCATGTTGTCTTTATTTTTATAACATTTATTTACAGAAATGTCAACATACGTCAACATTAATAAAAGAAACGTAAACTACGTTATACTAAATAAATTATCTTATCGAGAAATTTGTTGCATAGACTTGCAAAGCGTATCTTATCTTAATTGGAAATTTTACTTGAAAAGATATTGAATTTAATCAGATAGATAAAAAATATTGAGAGCTTGTCGTCTTTTCCACTTAACCGAATCTACTATAATCTTCAATTTGTGTAAACAAATATTTTTTTATAGGAGATAATGGTATTCGCATCTTAAAAGTACAAACTAACAAAAATAACGTAAATACAAAATGCGTTTTCCTGGGAACTTGTGATTCTAATCACAAGCAAGTTAAAATTTCACGTCTTAAACTTAAAATTACTCATTCACTGAGAATACACTTGATGGGTACATCCCAAAACTATTTTAAAACAATGTTGCTTAATATACAGCATTACTAAACTATATGTCCATCTATACATGCTCAGGGTTTCTTAGATCAATTTTATTTATATTAGAAATGAGTGGTGAATAGCTGGCAAATCCAAACTAAAAAAAGTTTTTAGTAACCATAATAAATATAATCATTATTGATTATCAAATTTAACAGCTTCGGGACTCGTTAAATAACTGAACTTCACTGGAAATGTTCAGTAAATTCAAGTCCAGATGCGAAGATCCTTTTATTGTGTATGGAATCAGGACGCCAATTCGCTTTAAACATAAGCGTTTCGACTTTTCTAAATCAAAAGTAAGATTGGATTATTATGAAAAAAACATATGTCGACAAGTCAGCCGATAAAAATACGTTTAGTTACCTAGTAATTCTTACCCATTATACAAGATATCCAATGACTTTACAATATACAACTAGCAAGGTTCAATTGAGGTGTTTTACCACAGACACAGATCGAAATAGATACCTAATAATAATCGCAAGTGTATGTACTTCGCGTGCCTAAAACATACCAAAAGGGAGACCAAACGTCTTCCTTTTCAGCTATTTCATTTCTTTATATCGCTCTTCTCGTTACGGATGCCAATAGCAATATTTAAATTGTCTAATTATGTCATAAAAACGACGAATTGCCGGTGCCCATGCTATTCCACCACTTATGCATCAAAAAAATTATGACACGCTGGGTTTTCATACAATTTGACGCGCATGCGTCGTCTACTTAAATCTAAGTCTGTGGGTTTGACCTACTTGTTTTGCAGACTGATCATTTCTTGGGTGCGATCAGTTGTTTTGGGGCCAGATCTCAGGTGTAGTACTGAATGGTGTGAGTTCTTCGTGGTGGGGTGACAATAGTCGATGAATTGTTTGACGTACCCACTATGAGATAGCCCCCTGATGTGACCACCTTTTTAGAGGTGTCTTCGTTGTTCATTATCTATTAAGTGAGGAAAAAGCAACATACAGGTTTATTTATTATTATTACATTAATCGAATCGCCATGAGGAGCTCGATGGCGCAAGTGGTTAGCGCGTTAGGCTGATATCGTTGAAGATAATCAATTTTTGCAGAGGGCGGTCACTGGATGGGTGACCAAAAATTTACTATCTCGAGCTCCTCTCTGCGTCGGAAGGCACGTTAAGCCGTTGGTCCCGGCTGCATCTGCAGTCGTTAGCACCCACCAATCCGTAATGGGCCCGCGTGGTGGGTCATGGCCCGGTCTCCCTATTCCATCCATAGGGAAGGCCTATGCCTCAGCAGTGGGAATATTAATAGGCTGATGATGATGATGATGCTAAACCATCCAGAGATATACTTAAATGCACATAACAAAAGTTATCAAAATCGATTGTCTGAAAGAAATCGCTGATTAGGGTTAAGAGCGCCCTTTGTGCAACTGTAATTAATTTTACCTTGTTTTATATTCTAAATGTGTTCTTACGTTATTATTGTGCAATAAAGTAGAAGTAAATTTTATCTTATTTTAAATCATTCTAGCTTTTAAATAGTACAGTCACGTGATAAAAAAGCCTCTTAAACAACAGAAGATATTAAAAGTTTTACAAAAATAATGCACATCCAGAAAGTAGTTTGGTTGGAATTGTCTGAATCGATTTCACAAAAAACCGTAAAAATAAATTAACGTTAATTAAATCATTCTAAACAAAAGAATATGGTACACTAGCGGGTGCCCGCGACTTCATTGATTTCCCATACAGACTACCCCTTTAATTCACCCCCTTAAAGAATGATTTCCGGGATTAAATTCCCATATTTCCTTCCCCGGGACTCTAACTATATTTTATACCAAATTCAATCTAAATCGGTTCAGCAGTTTAAGCGTGAAGAAGCTACAGACAGACATACTTTCACATTTAAATTTACTACCGTCCGCTCAAGACCTCGTCTGCGTCAACTTTAGTTTTTTGAAAATCCTACAGGAACCTGACGTTTTTTCAGGATATAAAGTATCCTATGCCTCAATCCAGTCAATAAACTTAATGAATCCAAATATTTCATCAGTTTTAGCGTGACTGAGTAACAAACTTTCACATTTATAATATTACACACGGCGTCAAAAAAATCGCACCTCAGCGAAAATAACGGAACGAACGAATTACGTTGTGATCTCTGTCCTGCAGTGGCCAGCGAGAAGTCCAGATCTGAACCCAATAGAGCACCTCTGAGACCATTTTGAACGCAAGGTTCAGTCTCGTGATCCCGCTCCCACGACTCTCCAGGACCTTAATGAGGCCGTTATTAAGGAATGGGCCAGTAGCCCTCAAGAAGAGCTCCTAAAATTAGTAAGATCCATAAGGGAGCGTATGGAAGCCGTCATCCGGGCAAAGGGGGGGGGGGGGGGTAACACTAGGTTTTAGGTTAGTTTTCAGAACCTTTATGTGTTTTTTTTGTGTAATTAATCTGTTTTAAATTATGGAATTTATTTGTTTTGTAAATTTTCTTGTTTTTTTGCACTATTCCAATAAAAAAATATTGAATTGTTGTTCTTGTTTTTTTTCTTGCACTGTTCCAATAAAAAAATAATTGAATTGTTTTTTCAAGTTTATGTCTGTCAGCTGCGGGAAAGCCTCCGCCTACAACACCCCCCCGTCTGCGGGACGATTGCGCGGCCGCAGCGCGCGCTCGATGCGGTTTGAAATTTATTCAATAATTTGAATAAATTGTTCGGTCGACATGCAGCTAAATATTATAATTAAAATTGAAATAGTCAATGTACCTTTTTTTTTAGTAATTTCCTATAGAAATTGTATCAACCTTTTTATTTTTAACAGGAATCGTAGACAAAATCAATTTCGTACCTAAGGTGGCATAAATACGATTTGAATAAATTATACGATTACTTGTGCTTTTCATTGATAACCTTTTCAAAGTTGAATAACAAAACAATAGATTTTTGCAAAAAATATAATGTTTCAAGTATTTATTCATATAAATAAAATGTTATTTATAAATAAAAAAATACTTTTTAGTTGCGAGCTCCCCGGTGCTCGATTTTAAAATCGTCGTTCTAACGGTTGTTTGGTCATAAGAACGACTTCATCACAATGAATGAATGGTTTATTCATCTGCGTATAAAATTCAAAAGACTTTGAACTGTATTGCATTATTAGTCCAAGATTTTTAGATGTCCGCTCTGCATAAAATCCTTCTACGTTATTTTTCGATTGGATTATGTCGGAAAATATCAACAATAGGGGGAAAAGTTTGGTATAAAAAAGATGGGAAATTTTGTTCTCTACAAAAAAGATCTCTTCGGTTTTTAACGTAAAACTTACCGTTTCCGAGATATATGCAAAAAAACGGTTTCTAAGATGGCGGCTAACGCTCGCGGTTTCGGGTGACAGAAACTCGGTTTTATACTTAGGGGGCAGCCTCTGATATAATCCAATCAAAAAATCACGTAGAAGGATTTTATGCAGAGCGGACCGATTTTTGGTGCTAAAATTCCTGGATTATATATTTATTCCCAAAATTGCAAAAATATGAATGCGGGTGACGAGCGAGCAGATCTGCACTTCCGCAAACGGGCTATACTCACGAAGGCGTGTAGATATCCACTTAAGCGGTTCAAAGGTTGGGCTTTCAAATAACACCAATATTGGTGGGGGTAAATGCGTGTGTAAAGGGTTCTAATAACGCTTGAAAATTATATTCGCGGAGGTTAGATTTTTTGACGCCGAGTGTAGTTGGTAAGGATTAGTATGGAAGTGTGGATTGAACCTGTTGATTGTGGACGACTGGCGATATTTGCGTCTGGTTCTGCGTCCCATGTTTGTAAGTGCCGATGCATTTCAGCTTTTGATTACCACTTGTGTCCTTCTCCAAATTTACTGTAACAAGGGAAGGCCCATGGTAACTAGATATTAAATTATAATTACATACTTAGGCGCCTTTCTCACCGGATCGGTGCGGGCTCGTTTCGTTTTCATTTCTGTATCGAATCTACAGATTTTTTAACTGAGAACCACACCACTTATTGACCGTCTCGATTTTGGTGCGGTATCGTTTCGTTTTGTTTGTGACGGTTTAGTAGCATGAAAAGTATACTATGTCTCAACTCAAACCAGATCATAAACTATATGTGTGCCAAATTTCATCCAAATCCGTTCAGTATTTTAAGGTGAAAGAGTAACAAAGTACCACATACATAAATCCATTCAAATTATCGCGTTTATAATACTACTAGCGGTTTTAGTCTTTTGAAAAGCCCTCAAGGAAATTAACACTTATCCGGGATAAAAAGTGTCCTATGTCTCAATCCCGGTCATAAACTATATGCGTACCAAAATTTAATCCAAATCCGTGCAGTAGTATTTGCGTGATTCAGTAACAAACATACAAACTTTCACATTTATAATATAAGTAGGGCTAGTGGGTGCCTGCGACTTCGTCTGCGTGGAATAATTGTTTTCCTATACAAACTTTCTCCCCCTTAAAGAATGATTTCTGGGATAACAATTAAAAACATCCTATAGTAGACTAGTCCTTCCATGGGAGTCAATCTATGTCTACACCAAAATTCCACATAAATTGATTCTGCTGTTTCAGCGTGAAGAGGGAATAGACAGAAAGACACACAGTCACATTTCGCATTTATAATATTTTTTTTTACAACACACACCAATTAGCCTAGCCCCAAAGTAAGCACTGTAAGGCTTGTGTTATGGGATGCTAGGGTAACGGATAGAATACATATACTATACATATATAAGTATATTTATATAGACATACATATCAACAACCATGACTGGAGTACAAAAGCTCGTATTCATCACACAAACATCTACCCCCACCGGGATTGGAACCCCTCTCGAGTTGGCGACACCATGAAACCCGGCGTACAAACCACTCGGCCACGGAGGTCGTCGATATTAATATGGATAAAGTAGGATAAAGGAAACTTACTGATAATGGAGCCAGATTTCGACGCTTGGTCTTGGCTAGGGCCCCGCGCTGTCTTGGTGCCTACCGTCAGTGTCGGCGTCGCACCGGGCGCTGTACTACTCTTCTGTGGGAGATAGCTCAATTTTATGGGCGTCCAAAATAAAGGTAAAATATCCGAGGTTCCGAGGGTTCCGTACAAATTTGTAGGTATGAAACATAAACGGCCGTCACGAGCGGACTGTTGAAAAGTCAACATGCCGCAGGGCTACGGAAAAAAAGCGACTGAAGTACTTATAGTACGTAAAGTGTCGTTTTTACCGAATCAATGATTGTTAGTTCAACGCATTTGAAGTTAATTTTGTTCTAATACTCACTATAAACTGATTTATTAGAAAATATTGGTAATATAGCCGTCTCTTTTCCTCGCGGTCCGTACCTGCTCTTTTACTAACAGCACTCTCAGAATTGCGCGTAGAGACCAAAGAAAAGAATCTATATTCTTCCACATATAGCAGTAAGTCGTAAAATTTTAGGAGATTGCATTACGAACTTTACGTTATAACTCTTTGACGCATGCGTTTTAACTAAGACCTTATACAGTATGCATTAAAGGTGACTTTAAATTTGTTGTTTTTGACTACGCGATCATCTTACGGAGCTCCGTGGATCGTCCAAAGTAACTTTTGGACACGTTTCGTCCATGATTTTGTTTGTGATGTTCTACCTAGGGTATTTAATATCGCTGTAAAGTGCCTGGTGGGCGTCTCTTAGAGTAGGCGCGTTATTTTATGCTCCGCTTTTGGAATATCGGTTTCTGTTGGGTTAGGTGGCATATAGGGATTGCAGGTAACGAGGCCGGTCGTGCTGCAGCTCTGAGAAAGGCTCCTGATTACGACCGATTACCATTATCATATGGGAAGCGCCTTTCTAGGCTGATGACATATGTCGATTTGATGAAATAGGGCCCTGGTGAAATCGGAAACAAACGCACAAAGAGTTCACATTTAAAAAAGTTGACTCACTGGTATATTATCCGGCTGAGGTTGTAACCGGCTTTTAGGCGGACTGCCTATGTTGCTGCCGTCACCGTCCTGAAAAACGAAATTGCTTTAAACACATTTTATTGGAAAACAGTCTTAAATAAAATATCACACAACATAAGCTTTAGAAGTACCGCGCCGGGGTCAAACAGAGTCGGCTCAGTTCGGCCTGCGCAGCCGTAGAACTTTTTTGAAGAAAATCTCTGCAGAAGACTTTTCACGGTTACAACGCACACGCTGTGCGAATATTTATTCTCCGAAAATTAAGAATAGCGCACGCATGGAATTAAATAGTGTCAAATTACGTTGTGTTGTAATTAACATAAAGTCTAAGAATAAGAAAAGTCGTATTAAAATAGAATAGTAGGTCCATTTTTTAAATCTGATCGAGCGCGCAACGCGAGCTGATGTTCGCTTCGCGTTCGCGTTGCTGCGCCTTGTCACATGATTTCTATTGTTTTAGGGACACCCTCGTACTTTTCTCCATTCCGGTCTTTCGGTGTGCTAGGTTATTCGGAGAACTTTTTGTACGCTGTATATTTAATCCGTCGTGTGCGTAACTCGATGCAGCTGTAAACTATAGCGCCTAAACATAGGTAAATAAAATCTCCTAAAAAGTCGTATACAAAGTATCATGAAAATTACATCGCTCATAAATGAAAACTACTGGGCCAAAATAAATTAATTTTCACGGGACCAAATGGCAACTATTCTGAATTGGACAATAAAGGAACGACGACCTCCGTGGTCGTACACCGGGTTTCATGGTGCCGCCGACTCGAGAGGTCCCAGGTTCGTATCCCGGCGGGTGCAGATGTTTGTGTGATGACTACGAGCATTTGTACTCCAGTCATGGATGTTTCCTATGTATTAAATCAACGTATAGGGATGACGACTAACTTATTTTTTTCGTGTATTTTCAGTCTAGTTCACTACACAGTACTTTACTCACATAATCAAAACATTACAAAGATTATGTTATATAGATTTGAACTGTCACATGACATACCTTTTGGTACAATTTTTAATTAAAAGGGACGTCACGAGCCCCCACTCCCAAACTTCGACGCGCTTTATCTTTGTCATTTTTTTGGTTGATTGACCAATGAAAATAATGTCTATTCTTATTTGATAATCTAAATGATGGACTAAATAGAATTCCGTTTACTTTATCCCGTCGTCACCCTTAAGGGAAAATCCCTTGGGCAGAAATATCGCGATAACGCATGTCTACGTTTTATGGCCATTGTGTGCGCCCATCGTTATGAGGAGAGGAGTCTTACATTATCTGATCGCCTTACGTCAGCCAAAAAAGGTTCTAATACTAGAAATATGTTGTCGAAGTCCCTCCCATTCGCAAGAAGCGATTTGCTTCCGCTTTCATTATGCGAACGGCTAGGGAGTGGAACTCTTTGCCGAGGTCGGTTTTCCTGGACCAATATAATCAGGATATCTTCAAGGCCAGAGTGAACAGGCTTTTATCTTCTAGGCAGGCGTGTACCATCCTAGGCCTCATCATCGCTTTCCATGGGGAGAGATTGTAGTCAAACGCATTGCCTATTATGCATAAAAAAATTTTTTCGTATCAAGAATGCAAAAAGCACAGGACCGTTGTGTATAGAAAGCAATTGAGGAGGCCCCAGCAGAGGACGTCCATCTGCTGATGATAATTATACTACTTCCAATTTTAAAATAAGAACCAACCTGTAACCGTTGCTGCGTGCAGACGCTGAAGTGCTGCGACCAATGCGCTCGCTGGCACGGATAGTCGCAGTAGGAAGTGTTCCAACAGCAGTAGAACTGTGCTTCCTGGTTGCAGTTCGCACACCTGTTTGAATGGATTATACACCTGAGTATAAAGCGATTCTGAACTTTTTGGCGGTTGTGAGTTCGCAGCGAGCTATGAACTGCACCCCAAGCATGAACAACCAGCGAAAAAGTATTCGTATCGCCATCGTCAAATATTTTATGGACACAAAAATCGAGTACTTGTCACGGACTCAACGCACACGATGTGCGAACATTTGTTCTCCGAAAATTTTGATGCCGCGTTTAATGGCTGCCTATAGTGGCTCAATGTGCGCTTGCTCTAAATATAATAATTACTCACCATTGAACTAATTACAATGCGATTCAACTAAGAATAGGACCGGCTGGGCGCCATGTTGTGACGTCATAGCTGTCAATTCAAACCAGTTAGGTAGAAGTGACAAAAAATATCAGATTTTTAATAATTTATATTCATTAAAACTGTCTGAGAGAAAACATTAATCAGAATCTAGCCCTTTAATTCCGATCATCTCTGCACTTCCGTCGGAATAGTCATCATCACCACTGATGCTTTCGGCTATAAAATAAGTGTTCCAAGATTTTTTGCAAACCGTACATTTGACAGATGGACGTCATTGGCTTGCCTATTCTTATTTGAATCGCATAATAATCGGTCCAGGTTCGTGCCTGATACGTTAACAGTGTTTGTTTTTCTTTATCTAAAATTTTCTTTGCATTTACAAATCAAGCAGTTAAATGCTTAAAATTGAACATAACACTCACCATTGTTTAGCCTTGGCAGCTTTTACGGCGGATTCTAAGTCCGCTTGCGCCGCCACCCTCACTTCACTCACCAGACGAATTTTCTCCTTCTCGAACGAGGAACGGATCTCCGCGAGTGTTAGCTCTGCAACAAAAACAGAGTATCATCATCATCGGCCTATTAAAAAAAATTCCCTTGCCGAGTTTTTTGTCAGTTCTCCTCGGTACAAGGTCTCTCGTAGATTTACGAACCGATGGAATAGAGTTGACGTTCACAAGATCGTGTAACAGTCTAGACTGAATAAATGATTTTTAATTTGAATTTAATGTCCCCACTGCAGAGGCAAAGGCCTTCCCTGTGGATGGAACAGGGAGATGGGGCTATGCCATGACCCACCTCGCGGACCTAGTGCGGATTCGTGGGGCTAACTACTAACTAACGGTTTAACGTGCTTTCCAGAGCACGGAGGAGCTCGAAATAATAATCTTTTAGTCAATAATTTTATGCCTGGCCATTGCGAAAGTTGTTTAACTTCTATAATCGAAGGCGGAACGCGCTAACCACTTGTGCCATCGAGCTTCTATCACATAGCATAGCGTAATAAAATTTAGTAGTAAGCAAACCTCATTGTCTCGGCGCTAAATAGCTACAATCGGCTAGCTAGACACTATGGTAAGACTTTTTGCTAACAACCATTACTTTAATTTAATGCACACCGGGCTGGTGCGATGTAAATGTCCTTGTTATCGATGTGTCGGCCGGTATCTAAGAAAACCATAGACATAGAGAGTCTCTCTCCACTTGCATTTACTCTCAAGCCACACTTTTGGCTCAGGGAATATAATAACATTGAGGTAAGTATGCATATCTAATATATAAAATTCTCGTGTCACTGTGTGCGTAATTGAACTACTCCAAAACGGCTGTACCGATTTTCGTGAAATTTTATATGTATATTCAGTAGGTCTGAGAATCGGATATCTATTTTTAATCCCCCTAAATGTTAAGGGTCCACCCTTAATTTCTTTTTTTGGATTTTTTTTTATCTTTTTATGATACATCATTCAAACATACATACAACCCTAAATTTTCACCTTTCTACCACCAACCCCTATTTTTTTTATGGCGGCACGAAGTTCGCTGGGACAGGTAGTATTTATATATATAAATACCTAATAATGAAGTGATAATTATATTACCATGGTTGTGTTTCAGTTCCTCGATCTCTTGTCTCTGCCGCCAGGAGATTTGCTCGAGCTTCAGTTTCAGGAGCACTACTTCCGCCGCCGGTTCATCCACCTTCTCCAAAGAATCTTCTAGTAAATTGCGGAAGAAATCAGCCAACTAAAAATATTGAGTCAAATTAATATCGTGCGACATTGCATTAAAATTTTTGTTTGCAAAATTTTCATTGAATAAGTGGTGTCTTGAATTCTGTATCCTTAGCATGAACCAATATCGAATTCGAATAGTTAATTCGATCTCGATACGCGTCAAATGTCAAGAAGTTTTGTATGGAAGTTTTTTAATTCTCAGACGTACGTAACGTTGAGGCGCTGTTCAAATCTCTATACAAAATTTTTGTCTTTTGAAGTGTATGGAGATAGAATTCAACTTTTCGAATGTGATATTGGTTCGTCTTGAGGCTACGGATTTACTACTTCGAAATAGTTAAATTTTATATAAATGGACTGGATTGTTACCGCATCATTTAGGGGTAACAAAACAGACTTTGAATAAAAGTACTGCCATTTTGGTCAGATTATTTGTATATACGAGTAACACTATGCGGAGCGGCAGCATTGAGCATAAACCATAGACTGCACGGTTTCGCAACCGAACAATAACGTTGTTAGGTAAATTATTATATCTTGCTGATCAGCATTTTCCGGTGTAATATTATATTCGCAATTAAAGTCAGTTAGTCAATAACCATAAACTAATTAACGTCTGTTTATATTGTTCTATTTATAAACTAATAACCTTTGTGTAAACTAAATTAACTACATATATACAAATTGACTTTATTTAACTCAAACTTACAATTTAAGAGTGTAGGGAAAGCCCTACAATAGACATTACGGTCTATGGTTTTACTAAAAATGTGTGCCGCTATCTGTTACTTTACGAATGTTTGAAAAAATAAAATTTCCACTTACCTTAACTGCATTCTGGTTGAGCTTAGCAGTAATTGGTCCAGCGCTTGAAGGCGTTGGCAGGACGCCCGTCGGAGTCTGCGCGTCTAAAGGATTCAGCAAAGCTGGCCTCTGTTGTAATCTGGGCGGCTGGAGGATATAGACGTTTTGTGTCAAAATAGACAGTTACTTGTAATCTACAATACTTATAAGAAATTCTTCAAGGACTTTTCCTTTTTTCGAGAAATAAATTGAAAAGAAGGTTCCATCTTTAAAGACCAAGAAATATAATTTGTAAAAGTTTCGTCAACAGAATGTTTTGTTAAACATAAGTCAGTCAGTGAGTCGACGCTAGAACTTCTCACTGCAAATTATGCTCGTTTTGTATGTTTAATATGATTGCAGATTCATTTTACTGCATGGCCATCAGTATGCTTATCACTATTTTGCTTAGACGATGCGAAATGTAATTTTAAAACGTGTATTGATTTTTAGTTCTTGTTACGTCCAACATGGCGCCGCTTTTTAAGTTTCCCAACAAAATTTGACACTGACATTTCGCACTCGCTAACTATTCGAATTCGATATTGGTTAATGCTAAGGTAGTACAGAACACGATATAACAAAGCGATTTATCGACACTTAACTGTCAAACTCCATTGTAGTTTGACAATTCTTTTTTCAACTATGCGACGCTCACTGCAGAGTATGGGTTTGACAGTAGTATCGATGAAAAGCTTCACCATAATTATCCTATCGCAATACTCAAGGTTTTCCTTACACGATTCCTTTAAATCACCTCTCCTGGTGCCAAGCTGTCGTTCTCCTGTTTGGTGCAACAACTGCCGTTAGAGCGATGGCTGGCATTGGTACTGTTATAGTAGGCGTTACCTTCGGCCCACTGCTGGGCAATATAGCCGTGGCCTGGATCATAGGCGCGGAAGATATTTCCTCTAACTCAACGATGCCTGTAACTCACCTCTCCCGGTGCTAAGCTGTCTGTACTCCTGTTTGGTGCAACAACTGGCGTTAGAGCGATAGCTGGCATTGGTACTGTTATAGTAGGCGTTACCTTCGGCCCACTGCTGGGCAATGTAGCCGTGGGCTGGATCATAGACGCGGAAGATATTTCCTTTAACTCAACGATGCAAGAAACCCACCTCTCCCGGTGCCCTGCTGTCTGTAGTCCTGTTTGGTGCAACAACTGGCGTCAGAGCGATGGCTGGCATTGGCGCTGTTTTAGAAGGCGCCACATTCGGCCCACTGCTGGGCAACAAAGCCGTGGGCATATTGGGCTGGATCATCAGTGCGGAAGGCGGCACTAGCAGTGTTCGTAGGCGAAACGTCTGGGTTTAGCATTTATAGTACAATGTTCCTTTAACTCACCTCTCCCGGTGCGGAGCTGTCTGTACTTCTGTTTGGCGCAACGACTGGCGTCGGGGCTACGACTGGCATCGCTACTGTCGTAGTAGGCACCACATTCGGTCCACTGCTGGGCAACATAGCCGTGGGCATATTGGGCTGGATCATCGGCGCGGAAGATGGAACTAGCACAGTGTTCGAAGGCGCGACCACAGGGTTCGGCACTATCGGTACAATGTTCGTAGGGGCATTGCTTCGGTCCGGGAGGCCATTCATCAGCGGCTGCGGTGCATCGTCCTGAATCAACACCTATCATAATGGTACAATGCGAATGTGTGGAAAAAAAAATAAAAAAAAACAACAAAGGAGTAGGCCTGTAGTTTGGTAATTTTAAAAGTCCTGACAATAAGTCACTTGGATCATTTAAGGTAACGACAGGTGATTAGTGCTTAAACACTGCTAATTTTGAAGTAAACCCAAGAATGACATAAAGTAACTTTGATCATTAAAGGTAACAACATGATCAGTGTCTAATTTAGGGGTTAACTTAAGTTAACTGTATTCATTTATATCTTATATTTACATAATTAATTTTAAGCTGGTCCTTGGCTTCTGTAAAATAAAAATGTTTGCACCGTATAGGTACTTGTCTCGAAAAAATCAAAAAATATTTGTCAGGCACTTAAAATTTCGAAATAACTTTGTATTAAAAATAGGAGGGATATGAAAGAAATATTCGTAACTTGTCCAGTACAGGATGTAAATATCGAATCATAGTGCAATTCAAACTTAATGGCGGCTTTGAAGTTAGCGCAAGTCGCGCCGCAGTAAACGAAATGTAAGAATGACGTAGAGGCGCGCAAGGTTTCACTGAACTGAAACCGGCATAAAGTTGCACTTACTGCTAACTTAACATCCGCCATAAAGTTTGAATAGCACTGCACTATTTATTAAATTAAAAAAGAGGTATGGTTTTATAAAACCACAATGCAAGTAAAACTTTTAAGTGTTTTACATCCGTAGATTTTTTTCCTCAATGTAACTCTAGCTTAAAAAATGTGGAAAATTAAAATAGAACTTTTTCTGGACCGGGAATCAAACCCGAGTCGCTCGCATGGCAGCGAGCTTTCAACTACTGACCACGGATACTAATATAAAAAGGTCCAAATTTTTGAATAACAATTAAAAATTTCATGCGACATGCTAAAGTTGAACGAAAAATATGTGGCGATGTGATAAAGGTTTTACTTTAAAAAGTAAAGAGAAGTAAGTAAATACTTACATCTACCCCTCCGACGGACATGACCGGCTGAAGGCTGAACGTCCACTGGCCGTTGACGGAGGTGATAAGAGGCACGGTGTGCACGTTAGTGGGCATCTGTCCCACGGACGGCACGAGGGATAGTGGCGAACTGCCGGGCGGCGGCGCGGCGAGGGGCGCAGGGGCGGGTACAGACGGCTGAGAAGACACTAGCGACGTCGGCGCCGTATTTACTGTGTTGCTACCTGTACGCGATACAAAGACAGCTCTTAATAAAACACATTAAGAAGCTGAAACTTCAACCGGAACCTAAAATAGCTACTAGAACCTACTCCATGGAGTTAATTAAACTGTTGCCGAAATCCTCCTCAAATGTAAAGTTGGAATGCGACATAATTGATCTCTTTCCTGATTATGGAATAAAAGAAGAACTTTTGTAAACACAGCCCCTAAGTCTAAAGGATGCGAAACGTAGAGCTTTGTATGAAGTATTAAAAAACGCATTTTAAACCCGTTTAAGTGTTTTCTTTAAAGAAAGAGATCGCGGGACAAGAAAAAGTTGACATATTCTGCACGCTCTTCTCTATCACACAATTGACATGACACACGCACAGAGAATCCATGGAGATTTCAGTAGTTGTGGCGTCAAACATTCACGTCCACGCAGTCACAAGTATCACAGATATTGGCTTGTTCTACAGAGGTATGATAAGCGGCACGGTGTGCACGTTAGTGGGCATCTGTCCCACGGACGGCACGAGGGATAGTGACGAACTGCCGGGCGGCGGCGCGGCGAGGGGCGCAGGGGCACCCGCCCCCCAGACGGCTGAGAAGACACTAGCGACGTCGGCGCCTTATTTACTGTGTTGCTACCTGTACGCGATACAACGGCTCTTAATAAAACAAATTAAGAAGCAGAAATTCCAACCGGAACCTAAAATAGCCACTTGAACCTACACCAGGAAGTTAAATCAGCATCTTCGCTTTTGGACTTTATCACCACTTAACATCAGGTGGGGTAGAGTCATTTGCCTACCTAGTTATAAAAAAAAATGTTCCCAAAATCCTCCTCAAAGTTAAAGTGAAGTTCCAATGTGACATAATTAATCTCTTCCCCGATTATGGAAAGAAAGAAGAACTTTCTCTTGTAAACGCAGCCTCTAAGTCTAAAGGTGCTGTCCGACAGCCTGTGCTGACTAGGGCGCGGCCGCACCGCGCAGTGTTGCCGAACGTATAAGAACTGTAACGTTTGAGATTTAGCAGTCTCTATACATGATAAGAGGTAAATAATAATCTCGTACACTTTACGGGCGCGGGGGCGGCTGAGAAGACACTAGCGACGTCGGCGCCGTGCTAACTGTATTGTTACCTATACGCGATACAACAGAAGCTCTTAATAAAACTAATTAAATAGCTTTAATTCAAACCAGAACCTACGACCATTCTTCTCCAACTTACCTAGTTAATTTTCAACGTCGCAGCGAGATACGACACAACAAAGTTGACGATAAAGCGATTACCGATTTTAAGAGTAGGTACAGCCCTCGCTTTAATCGCGCTGCCCCTACATAGATAAATAACGTATTCCAGTAGAGGCAAAGAAGTTTGATACCTACGTGAAAAAACACTATGCTTCAACATTGATATATAAAACAGATAGACTCATAATAACTCTCAAAAATTGACGGATTTTAAATTAAATTAATGCCCACGCGGCAATTGGGCGTAAATTACAAACAGTAGTTTCGCGACCGCGTTTTCATTGCAACGGCATGCTTTAGTGTCCATTAAACAAACAAAATTACGCAACTATCTTAGCGTGTCTATCGTATTGCTTTTACTACATTTTAATAACTATAAAAAAAAACTCTTCTCGTGTGCGCCCCGTGGGTTACGCGAACGTGTATATCTATCGCACCGTAATCAAACTAGCTCATTCTCTCCCTGATATGACATACATTTGAGATTGAACCTTACTGCTACGAGATAACATGTTCATTTGAACAAATGTGTTAATGTTATCTGTATAAGTTGATGTATGCTCATTCTCTCCCTGATATGATATACATTTGAGATTGAACCTTACTGCTACGAGATAACATGTTCATTTGAATAAATGTGTTAATGTTATCTGTATAAGTTGATGTATATGTAAAACACAGCACTGCTTGGTCGTTTTTTGATGCACTTTTGTTAGGCTATTGGGAGTCTACTTGTTTTATACATGAATGATGCTATACAATAATATCACTACTTGAAGTAGCCGACCACTCTTTTTTCCTTAAATAAAAGTAAAGATTACTTACATGAAGTAGTATTAGTGACCGTCGCCATAGTTCTGGTGGCTACATTCATGTTCGGTCCGTTGGATACGGACACAGGCGTCATTCGAGACCCCCTGACAGGCACCGGCGTTATAGGCGGTTGTATAGGAATATACACCATAGAATTCTTGCTGTTTAACTCTGATCTTCCCTCATCAGGCTTCTTAGGCTGTGGGAAAGTTTTCTTCGCCCTAGGCCTTGGTTCTTGACTCGGTTTCACCACTTTTTTAGCGTTCACTGTAGGTACGACCACTTTATTTATACGCACTTCACGTAAACTCGTAGTATTGTTCACCGGTTGCAATCTGAACACGTTCATAAGGTCCATTTTCTGCATGTGCCGTTCTGCGTCATCTGTGTCCATGGGCTCGGCTTTTATTTCGATTTGCACGTCTTTGTTTGCGTTAGTGGCAGTATTGTCTTTCTTTGAGCGAGAATCTGGTGACGTCATTCGAGCGAAAGCTCTAACCCCCACTCGACCGACCAACGATTGCGGTTCCTTGTTGTTAGGCAAACTTTTTGACTTATTCGTCGCCTCTTTTGTTTTCTGAACGTCTACGCTTATCGGAGTGACTATACTGCTATTTGGGTTTGCTTCTATAGTAACTTCGACTGTTTTAGAGTTAGTTGTAGTTTTGGTTGTAGTTGAGCTGGTTTTCTGGGCGGTAGTAGATAAACTACACACGCTACTGATAGTTGGCATGCCAGTTAAATTGTTGTTGGTCTTGGATTCTCGCGCTATTACTGCTAGGCTTGTGTCGTCATCAAACTGAATTCTATCCTTAACAGTTTTCGAACTTTCTTTTGCCTTGGGAGCATCTTTTTCCAACGTCGACTTGTTAGCTTCTTCTTTATTATCTTTTACGCTCTCAGCTGTAGTAGAGTTGACAATAATCTTTTCGCTCTTCTTCTCGGGCAGTTTTCCAGTTTTGCTGGTATTTCCAGAGTTGCTGTTATTTAATGACTTGTTGCTTTTAGAACTCCTACGTCTCTGCGATTTGTCCTTGCTTTTAACATTTTCTGCTGAGAAAGATTTGTCTATTTTCATTTGTCTTAATTTAACTGGAGGGACTTTATCACTTTTGGCACTTTTCACTTTTGTTATTACAATTGGTTTGTTAGTTTTAGTTGATATCACTAGTTTTATTGGAGATAATGTTGGTATTACTTTGTCTTTTTCGTTTGTGCTACTAGACGGTTCATTATCCTTATTTTGTGTTCTATTATCTTTTTCTTTCGGTGTTGATGTTATAGCAAGATCTTCTTTAGTAGTCCGGGCTTCACTACTAGACGGTTTAACTTCTTCCGTTTTATTTTCTTCTGTTTCAAGGCGTTGTTTCTTTTGGTTACTGCTGCTGTCTATTATGGTGATGACAGCCTCTTCCATTTCTGAACGGCGACGTTTTCTAGATGTTTCCTCTTTGGCAGCTGATGTCGGGGTATCAACCTCCATTGTCTTCTCCCTGATAAAATTATATGTAAATTTAGATACTACTTTTTCAAAATTTGACTATAAATAGTGGTTTAAGGAAAATTTTTAAATTTCCTTAAAAAGATTGTGCTGACAAAATGATTATAAAAATTTCCTTAACCCTCCTTGAATACTTAAAAAAAACTTGTATAATATTTGAAATAAAATAGTCATCTGACTATTTTATGCTTTGGAAACTTCTGAAGGCGATGTAAAACAAGGTACATGGCAATCCCGATAATAACTATATTTCTTTAAACTCGTGTCATTAAAAAAAGGAATTGAAAATGCCGACGCTAGACATTCTGTCTCCCTCGCACTTTATTTAGGATAGCATGTGCGAGAGGGAAAGAATGTTTTACGCCGTCATTTGCGATTAATTTCTTTAATGACACGAGTTATACAAGTATATTGCTTCTTCATGACGATAACTTCTAATACATATGCATCCTAAATAGAACAAACGTGTTAATAAAATTATAAATATAGAACTCACTGATCCCCGCTTGAGTCTTCTTCTTCTCTAGCTATTTCTGCACCATCCGCCATTTTCCGAGATGTCGCTACTGTGTGAGCTGACGCTTCCTCGCACTCACTAATGTCACTGAAAGTCAAAAGCAATTTTTAGCGCGAAGTAAGTAAAAATAACCAAAACGAACTGGATGGCACAAGTGGTTAGCGCGTTCGGCTGTGATTATTGAAGTTAAACAACTATCGCAATGGTCGGTCATCGGATGGGTGACCAAAAATTTACTATCTTAAGCTTCTCCGTGCTTAAGGAAGGCACGTTAGGCCGTTGGTCCCGGCTGCATCTGCAGTCGTTAGTACCCACCAATCAGCACTGGGCCCGCGTGGTGGGTTTTGGCCCAATAGGCTATTTTCCAAAATTTTGAAAACTGCTTATATTTAAAGATTGGGACAAACAATTTAACAGAAAAATAAATAAATTAATGTCTTTTTTCTCCATTAAACCAATAAAAGTTGGATTTATTTTTAATGGTTTTGAATTTACCGCCAAAACGCTCGATTCGATGATGTCTACTGTGTGACTTCAACTTTGTGTAAAGAATTTTAACACCTGTGCAGTCTGAGGACGGTCTGTGATTACTTGACGATAATAGGAGGAATAATTATTTGACGATTTCTTTCCTTTTAAAATATTTTGTGTAAGTATTATACTATAAATTTATCCCGAACGTAAAAAAAGTTAATAATTTGACCTTCAGCTGACTACATACACAAAGTTGACGTCACACAGTAGACATCAACGAACCGAGCGTTTTGGTGGTAAATTCAAAACAATTAAAAATAAATTCAACTTTAATTGGTTTAATGGAGAAAAAAAGACATTATTTATTTTAATTTTTCTGTTAAACCGTTTGTCCGAATCTTTAAATATAAGCAGTTTTCAAAAATTTGGAAAATACCCTAATCCCCTACTCCATCCATAGGAAGGCTTGTTTCGCAGCAGTAAAGGCATTAAAAGGCCGGTGATAATGAAGTATATTATTTTCTTGTTCAATGCAAACTACAGAAAACAGTTGATGCTTTGACAATGCTCAAAATAATTACAAAACCCTTACCCTTCATTATGAGAGCCTTTGGAGCTTTTAGAATTGGATCTGCTTTTGTGTTTAACGATACTCGGCGATGACGTCACAGGCTTGTCCTTGATAGGAGCACGGACTTCCCCTTCAAACGATGGTATCTAACAAACGAGGGCAAAAATGTTACTATTGAGGAGGGATTGAGGCCTTTTAGTGCTTAGTTGCATAGAAAAAAATAACAGGTGTTACTAAGAAATGTAACCAGATAATTGTCATTTACAGGTTTTAGACTTATTTTTGTGTCCATAGAAAGAATATAATTAGAAATTTCTTTCGTCTTTTGTCTATAACCGTTTTAATATTAATAGAGATTTATTATCATAGCAGGATCCAGATCAAAGGGTTTCGTTGTTTGTTCGCCCGCTTTTTTCTTTGATATCGGATTAAAAAATAAAAATTCTCGCTTAATAAGCCATTCTCGAAAGGGCATGTGCACATCTCCACGTAACGACGTCGTCAACGTGTAACGGTGCGGCAACTCAAACGGGAATTGTGCCTTGACATCACGTGCACAGCTGGTCGTAAATTTGAACGTTATGTCAACGCAGCGTGCAAAGTTACCAGCACCGTTTCACGATGACGATGTCTTGACGTGGAGATTTGGACAGATGCTTACGGCACCGTTTCACGTTGCCGACGTCGTGACGTCGAAATGTGGACAGGTCACCGTTTCACGTTGCCGACGTCGTGACGTGGAGAAGTGGACAGGTCACCGGTTTACGTTGACGACATCGTGACGAGGAGATGTGGACAGGTGCTTACGGCACCGTTTCACGCTGACGACGTCGTGATGTGGAGATGTGGACAGGTGCTGACGGCAACCGTTTCACTTTGACGACGTCGTGATGTGGAGATGTGGACAGGTGCTGACGGCAACCGTTTCACTTTGACGACGTCGTGATGTGGAGATGTGGGCAGGTGCTTATGGCACCGGTTTGCGTTGACGACGTCGTGACGAGATGTGGACAGGTGCTTACGGCACCGTTTCACGTTGACGACGTCGTGATGTGGAGATGTGGACAGGTGCTTATGGCACCGTTTCACGCTGACGACATCGTGGTGTGGAGATGTGGATAGGTGCTTACGGCACGGTTTCACGTTGACCACGTCATGACGTGTAGATGTGGACAGGTGCTTGCGGCACCGTCTCACGTTGCCCACGTCGTGACGTGGAGATGTGTACAGGTCTTTACAACACCGTTTCTCGTTGAGGACGTCGTGACGTGGACATGTGGACAGGCTGCTCCGCCATCGTACACATAATCTCATAGCTGCTTCTATATGAGGCGCGGTCTTCGAGCCAGGGGCTTTACCATATAAATGTATAGCAACACTGTTTTAAGTTTTTTCCTTTATATAAATGGCACAATCAAAATCTACCTTATTAAATAGTCACATAACTTTTGTTACCATACCTTTAGTTGTATATCGCAGTTCGAGAACCTATGTGAAAATTAACGTAAAAAAAGAGTCGCCGACTTACCATCAACTTGAGCTGCTCTTTCAACTTCGTCGGATCAAATTGCGTTTTGAACGGTGGATACACGAACTTGCCGTATTTCTTGGATATATTGCGGGTGTGGTGTTTGGCTTCCTGCATAAACAAGGTTTTGTTACGCAAAAGGCAGGCTTTGTCTCAGTGCGGAAGTTGTTTGGATCTTCTCGGAGAACAAGAAGCTATCTTAGTTTATTGGTTTAGTGTACCAATATTTGTTTAAATTTACCTGCATACTGTCTAATATGTTTTGTCTCTTAATGCGGAAATTGTTAAGAGTCTTTCTCGGAGAGCAAGAAGCTATCTTTGTTTAGAGTACCAAATTGATTACAATCACCAGTATGCTGTATGTCCAATATGTCTTGCTGCTTAGTGCGAAAGTTGTTAGGGCCTTTCTCGGAGAACAATAAGCAATCTTAGTTTATTAGTATAGTAATATCAACATTTGTTTACAATCACCTGCATACTGTCCAATATGTCTTGTCTCTTAGTGCGGAAGTTGTTTGGGTCTTTCTCAGAGAACAGGAAACAATCTTTGGCAGGTACCCAGGCGCGGTCGTGGGCGCCGAAGAACCGCACGTCCACTAAACCAGAGGCGTTCACAGACATACCCTTAGCGGGCCAGTAGGGGAAACCTGAGAGGAAATAACCACAATATTATTTTCTGATAGGTCGATTTATCCAAAACTATCAAATTTCAAAACTGCGAACTTATATACATAAAAGACCAGCATCGCTTGAAAACAACGATATACAACATCACGATTATAAATCATGGCTGAAACCTGTCCAAAAGGTGCATTGAACTATCCACAATATTAAAACAAAAATTGCTTCAAATACCTACGTTAAAATAATAAACATTGATTTGATAATTGCCGATAGAACCACACTACGAACAATAAGTTTTCTATTTTTTTTTCACATTTTTACACGGTTGGCTCGGTTTGGTCGCTATGCAGCATGTTGACTTTTCAACGGCCCGCGCGTGTCTGTGAACCAAGAAGTGCTTGAGTGGCGTTTAAGCAATTCTTGATACACATATTAAGCGCTCGTGGTGTATCTAGGGTTTTTAATATCGCTGCGTGAAAAGCTCAAGTGACACCGCGGGACCTTTTCAAGCGATACTGGTCTTTTAAGTATGTAGATAAAGTTTAAAATTATTTCACACTGAAAGTGCTGCGTAGTTGCCGGCCGCTGCCGTTCCGGTCTAACTCCCCCATCTCTGTACGATCCTGCTGTTATATTCAATTGCACTGTGAATTGGAAACCAGTCAGCCCGGCACGAGGTAACTAATGTTTTGGCCGCCGCCATCAGATTAGATTATACTTTTGGGCCACGGGTGCGGCTTTGGACCGCAGCGACATTTCGTATTTCGTAGGGTGGTTTCTTCACCGAGTTGATATTTTTTCAATTAATAATTCACCATGAGCAGTTATTGGTAAAGAAGGTGATGGTGATAATCTTCAGACATGTTTTTTTGAGAGGAAACGAAACAGAGAATAGGTACTCTCTAATTAAATGCTCTTAGCAGACTGACTTAAAAAGGCATTGTTTTTCCGCAATGCGCGCGCTGTGTTACAAATAGTACTAATTACAACAAACCTGCGATGTTTTGCTGCGAGCTTCAAAAGCCGCAGTGCACACTAAGCCTAAAATGAAAACCTTTTCTAGCAACTGAAAATTCACTAACCTTTCAGTTTAGCCCACAGCAGTATATGCGGCGTGGTGCATACGTCGGTGAACCAGGTAGGTTTCATCGCGTGCGCGGCCGCGTAACATTCGGGGCAAGCTTCTATCTCTCCCATTTCGGCCCGGCACGAGCGAACTAATGTCCTGGCCGCTGCCGTTAATTTAGATTGCACTGAAAATGGATCTTACGTTTAGCATGATGAGATACATGGTAGAATAGCATTGGTGTTGTAATATGTATCATCATCGTCATCATCATCAGCTTATTAATGTCCCCACTGCAGGGGCACAGGCCTTTTCTATGGATGGGATAGGGAGACTGGGCCGAGACCCCAGGCCCAGTGAGGATTGGTGAGTGCTTACGACTGCAGATGCAGCCGGGAACAACGGCGTAACGTACCTTTCGAAGCACGGAGAAGCTCGAGATAATAAGGTTTTGGTCACCCATCCAATGACCGACCATTGCGAAAGTTGCTGAACTTTCACGATCGCAAACCGAATGCGCTCACAATTTGCGCCATCGAGCTCCTCGAAATATTATGTGTTCAGTAAAAGAAAAACAAAATCTGTCTTATTCCAAAACATGACCTAGAGTTACACTTGGTTTAAACCAAATGCTGTCTCTGATTTCTTGACACGATGAGAGTATCGTTTTAGACTGAGTTCAACTTTAATCAACGTTTTGTAGCAAGAGGGTATATGATTAACTTTAGACTTTGGGCTTTAATTCAACTGTGAGACACAATCTCTAAAGTCTGTGCTTTGAGAAAAAAATGTAAGCTGACATATAATATTACATTAAATAACTTTTAGAGCATTTTCCATGCAATCCTGCCATGACACTGATCATACTTTTAGAAAAAATATTTGCCATGCTGTTTCATCTAATCAAACCCAAATAATATATACAAATCTTTCACTAAAGCATCTATTATTACAGTGTAGATACATACATTATTCCTTCTAAACACCACCACTAATATGAGAAACATAAAAAAACTCTAATAGTGCAAATAATTGTAATTATTTCAGAGGTACTTAATAATATAATATAACATATAATTATGTGCAAACTAAATTACTACCTAATATATAAATAATCTAACTATTCTATAACTTATATAAGGGTTGGTGAACATTAACTGTATGATGCAGTACACATATACGCTACTTTAAGGGTGTCTTATGTGCAGTCAGTAGTTTGTGGTCTGTCACTTTGATTAAGCGAGTCCTATCGACCTCGAGTGATATTCGCCGTAAAGTGGCACACATTCATCTCCTTACAACTACAGAACACTTAATAGAAGAGCAATTAACCAATTTACGACAACATTGGTAAACTACTGAATTTAAGTCTCTTCTTTTCATTCTGTATAGAAGTGCATTTCTTTAAAAGAATGAATAAGAGTTCCGAAAAAAAACGATCCGTTTTATTTTTTACATTGTGAGAGGAAATATACTAAGTTTCCATAAATATCAGTGAAACATTTGTTACTTCTATTAAGGAACTTCTTTTTGATAAACATAATGTGAACGGTTATACAAGGCGAGGAAGAATTAACTTTAACAAAATATTTGATTTGACCAGTTAAACCAACGATATTATATACCCTAGATACAAACACACGAACAAAATAGTGGCCGAAACCTGTCCGCACGTGGTGTATATAGGGTATTTAATACCGTTGAGTTTTACCCTGAATCAACGTATACGCACCGCATACAGATAACCAGAGGCCCAAGCACGAACTTTGACAGTTCCGTAATCGTATCGCATCGTCATAATTTATATGAAAACTAAGCAGCGGCTCCCTTTTTTTACGCAGGCAAAACCTAACCTAACCTCTATTTACAGACGTTGGCGCCCTTAAGGGGCACACCAACGAATAGACCTCACACCTAGCATCAAGTCTCACGGGTGCGAAACGGAGAAGCCGTTAGGCAGTCCGTGCGGCTTACGGCATACATTCCGCTAAAAAACCCTGCGAATACACTCTACGCTGCTAAGTCGGAACCGCGAGATCTCCGTTGTGGGACTTCCCTACCTACGTCTCCGTAAGAACAAATTGTACCCCTAGCTCGAACCATTATCGAATTCAAACAGTTTGCAAACTGAAATGTCAATGTCAAATTTTGTATGGAAACTTGAACAGCAGCAGCACAAAGTACGTAACGAACTAAAAATCAGTACAGATTTGACAATGACATTTCGGACTCGCAAACGTTACGAATTCGATATTGGTTCGTGCTAAGGGTACTGGCCCTACAAAATTTGACGATGACGAGACGATAACGGATCTGTCAAAGTTCATGCTTGAGCCTCAAGCAACGTTACCAACCCTGCAATTAAAAATAATAATAAAAATTACAAAACAACAGACCAAAACCCTGCTCACATGTGTTGAATATGATGCTGTTGTGCAGTATCCATTGCACATCCGCTACGAAAGCTTCGGTGCTGCCGTAGTGGCCCGATTTAATGTGCTCCTTCATGAGCGATAGGTCCATCGGATGTACCACGTACTTATCGTAGTCGGGGAATTGAGTGCGATCCACCGGATGCATGAAGGGGTCAACCTGGAATTAATAACAGAAGCATACATCATACAGCATACCATCCTTAAAATCTTTCTAACTAATTTAAGAAATGCGAAAGTGAGTTTGTTTATTTGTTACTCAATCACGCAAAAACTACTGAATGGAATTGGATGAAATATGGTACGCATATAATTTATGACCTCGATTAACATAGGATACTTTTTATCACAACTTTCACTTAGTAGCGGACGGCCGCTAGAACTTAATACTATATAAAGCAGAAGAGTTTGTTTCATTTAATTTAACATAAACAAACTTGAGGTTTGAACTGTAAAATCTAATATATAAAATTCTCGTGTCGCGGTGTTTGTGGTTAAACTCCTCCGAAACGGCTCGACCGATTTTCGTGAAATTTTATATGCATATTCAGTAGGTCTGAGAATCGGATGTAATCTATTTTTTATCCCCCTAAATGTTAAGGGTAATCTACCCCTAAATGTTAAGGGTAATCTACCCTTAAATTTTATTTTTTTCAATTTTAGATATTTTTTTTTAATTCTTTTATGTTACATCATACAAAAATAAATATAACTCAAAATTTTCGCCCTTCTACCACCAACCCCTATTTTTTATGGCGGTACGAAGTTCGCTGGGACAGCTAGTAAGACCTATAAAAGCGGAGCATCAATAAAAAAAATGACACGTATTTTTTCCTTATTCACATAATCAAAACATTATATATTTTTTATTTTTTTTTATTTATTTATTCCTTAACAATATTACATTGTGTTGGAAGTACAAATTTTTGCATATTAATAAAAAAAAATGGGTGCGTGTACTTATGTAGGCGCGTGAGAAGTTATCCTTCTTTGGCATCGTTTAAAATTAGTTTTTAATTGCATGCAAATAATTAATTACAATAAATTAATAAAAAGTCTGGAAAAGGACACAGTCAATAAAGTTCAGTTTTAATTTGAAAAAATAAATAAATAATCAAAATATTCAATTAAAATCGCTACTGAATATAATTTATTAGAACATATGTGATTTGCACTTGTATGAAACTCAAACACGTATTCCGAATATACAAACTAGAAACATGTGGATAAATATTATAAATATGAATACCTATAACTGTTACTTTATTACAAAAAATAAAGATGTGGTTTTTGGTTCTACTACACCAATGGTCAAGAGATGGCGCTGTAGTCTCCTGAATCGCGCTTTGGTTCCGTTGTTCCAGATTAATAAATACTTTTGATAGGCCTTCACAATGCAGTCGTTAGCACCCACAAAATAGAGATTCTATTTCTATTTTGTTGGTAGATTTTCTTAATGTGCGGTAAACACAAAGTACAGTGATGCGCGCGCATCTTAAAATTTCACTCTCATCATTTTTTCATAACGCGCCTAAAGAAGTATAACTTCAAAAAAACAATTGATAAAATAGAATACTCTGACCAATAACTATAATTTAAATGTCAATAATATAAAAATTCAATCAGTATAACAATAATAATCAATAACATTGCATAATTATTGTTATGAGAATTTAAGAATATTGCACTTTCTTAAACAAATTAAATTGATTAAAAAAAATACAATTATAATCTGACTAATTACTAAAAATATCAATTTCAATAATAAAAAATCATTTTTTTATAAATAATCAATAACATTTCATAATAAAATTATAATAATAAATATAAATCAAAATAGATATACTAGTGCCGATTCTGACATGATTCTCTTAACCTAAACTTAGACAACAGTGTATCCTTGTTTCTTTATACAGAATGAAAAGGAGAGACTGATGTTAAATTTAGAGAATCATCCCAGATTCGACACCATTGATTTGAAATGTCGCATGACGTCACTACGACTTGGTACAATTTTTACTTAGAAGTGACGTCACCAGCACCATTCCCAAACTTAGATGCGCTTTATCTATGAATTTTTGTTGATTGACAAAAGAAAAAAAAAATTCATTATTTTTGGATATTCTGTCGGCCTAAATAGAATTTCGATTAGTTCGTCCCGTCATTATCCCTATTATTGATTGCGGCTCCATACTAATATTATTATAAATGCCCTGTTACGCTATCTCGCTAAGTCGAGGAATTGATTTTAATATAGCGATAATGGGGACTTTGGAGATGAACATAGACCAGTTTTGTCCCGATAATGATCCATAAAGGGATTTAAATTTTTGTAAATCGAAACTAATTATTCCAAACAGAAAAAGTCGCAGGCATCTGCTTGTTTGTAGAATATACATATATCTAATATATAAAATTCTCGTGTCACGGTGTGCGTAATTGAACTTCTCCGAAACGGCTAGACCGAGTTTCGTAAAATTTTATATGCATATTCAGTAGGTCTGAGAATCGGACAACATCTATTTTTCATCCCCTTAATGTTAAGGGGGGTCCACCCTTTTTGTTTTTTTTGTATTTTTTTATTTATTTATTAAACATGCTAGTTTACAAAAGTTCCCTTCAAACAAACTACCAAGTCAATACAATGAATGGGATTCCAATAGGGATGATGACTAATTTTTTTTTCTTCGTTTATCAGGTAGATTATAAAAAACTATTGGACACGTGTTTTTTCTTTTTTAGCATAATATAAACATTGCAGAGATATATTGATTTGAAATGTCGCATGACGTCACGTTTTAGTACACTTTTAAGTGAAAATTCACTAAAAAGTGACGTCACGAGCCCCTACTCCCAAACTTTGACGTGCTATAACTTTGTCTTTTTTTGGTTGATTGCCCAAAGAAAAAATACGTGTCCATTATTTTTTGATCATCTAACTGACGGACTAAATAGATTTCGTTTACTGTACCCCGTCATCACCCCTATTATTATAATTATCATTAAGATAATAAAAATAAGCCAATATATTAAATGCACGCTTTTAATAGTAATATATTACTAACACAAGTTATAAAATAATACATAGTATTATTTTTAGAGGGGTTTAAAGTGGATTTACTGCTCGAATTTGAGTGCCCGTCAGGGGAAGTAACCTCCACCTTACAAAAGAGCTAAGTTAAATCCACTTCCTTCTGGTAGTTTTGTATAACTGTCGGTGTGTAAGGTATAAATAAATAAATATTTCCAACACTCACAGCAATTAGCCTAGCCCCAAAGTAAGCACTGTAAGGCTTGTGTTATGGAATACTAGGTTAACGGATAGAATACATATACAGTACATATATGAGTATATTTATATAGAAATACATTATTAAACATCCATGACTGGAGTACAAATGCTCGTATTTATCACACAAACATCTACCCCCACCGGGATTTGAACACGGGACCTCTCGAGTCGGCGACACCATGAAAACCGGCGTACAAACCACTCGGCCCCGGAGGTCGTCAAAGCTTCCAGAGCTTAACGGGTTTGGGGAGGTACTGCGCAAGTGCTACTGTATACTATCGCAAGCTAATATACAGGCTTAATTTTAAAACACCAACAACCTCTTAGGGTGTGATTCTACCCATCAACAGGAACAACTTTTATTATAGGACCAACGCTGAAATCGCGATAAAAAAATCTGCTGTTTCATACAAAAGTGCATCAGCTAATCGACCGATATGTATGAAACAGCCGATTTTTTTTGCGACTTCAGAGTTGGTCTCATAATAAAAGTTGTTCCTGTTGATGGGTAGAATCGCCCCCTAAGAGGTTGTTGGTGTTTTAAAATTAACCCTGTATAGTACTATGCGGCCGTTTATCATCAAGCGCGCCAAGATATGCTTTTTGACATCTTTTTTAATTACATAATAATTCCAGAAATCGCAATGGCAAAATGGTACATTTTCAAAGGTAACAGCCGTTGAACTGCGGCCCCCTACGCGTGAAAGACGGACTCGCACTTTGCTGATTTTTAGCCTCATAAAGCTTACCAATGCAGTGAAGGTAAAACGAAAAACATTTCATTCACAATTCAAACCATAGTATTAATATCATTCCTCCGTTGCTAAACCAATTTTGATAAATTTTGGTATACTGACTGACTGTGCAGATAAAGTCAGACACTTGCTTGTTTATATTAATATTATTAATACAAATAAAGTATCTCTGTCTGTCACATATACGAGCCTTAACCGCTGAACTGATTTACATGAATTTTGTTATGAAGGTAAATGGTACCTTAATAGGTTAATTTTTGACGCGTAAATAAAACTTCAAGGATGCAATAGGGGAAGACAGTTTGATGTCGCGCTCACCAGTTTGTCATTTATAAATATGATCTTTGTAATGATATCAATTTTATTTTACATAATTTACTACTACATAATATTATTATTATGAGAATTGCGTGTTAATAAAAAACTGGTTGCATTGAAATTAGTCTTCTTTAAATGTGCCGAGTACTTTGTGCAACAACACAATGTTGATATAGCATATCAAGCACTAACAATAGTAGAATTAGTATCAAACGAGAGTAGGCTAAGTACTACATGGCACAAAATCTGCTAATACGAAAGCACGACAATAATGATGAATCAAGAAAAATGCCGCACACATCAGCGCGTATGTGGTGGTGCATATAGATGTTTATTATTAGATTAGAGTGAGACAGGTGTGTGGGCCACTATTGATTTGGGACGCGGAAAAGAGAGGGCGCTACGAGTCACGCGTCGCGGGACTGCGCATTATGTATATAGATAAGTGCTAGCTAACGACAAGGTCATTCGCCGAGTGGCGTTCCGTCCCACCCGCCCCGGCCGCCGCCTATCGCGACGCCAGCCAAGCCACGCCGCTACATACATTTTAATACGACCACGCAGCACGGTGAAAGTAGCCATCGCATTTTAGTCGTATAATTCATGGAAGGAATAAAACCTCAATTTAACTAAATGTAACCAATATACCGTTTATCAATGATATGGCTTACCTACTATTGAAACAATGACACTCCACTAATGTAATGCAGTTGATATTATGATAAATCATGCTTTTAGTTTGAAATATAATAATTTTAGGTCTTATAATTATGTATTAATATAAGCTATATTAAGGAAGATTGCAATGTTTGTTAAGTAATAGATTTTACCACCTCATACAAATTGAATTCTGATATTTAATATGTTTATTAAAGCCCATTTAATATTTTTTGCTATTACCTAGCCTATTTTAGGGCTGCAGCAATTTTAGTGTGAATATGTTATAGTAAAATAAGGTTTATAAAAGATTATGCAGGCATAATAAGAGCTCTTATTTATCCCCAATGTCAGACATCTACTTCATTTAAGCTTCCAAAGAAAATTAGTTTATACACACTCATTTAAGTAGTTCTCTAAAAAAAATTTTTAGTGCTATTTTAGATAATTACTAAAAATATGTTAATTACCCCATTTAAATCCATCATTCGCTCCATTGCAAAGTTCAGAAGTTCACACAGCTTCCCCAGGCTTACTTTTTTCATAGCTGGCGACCTGAAAATTGAAAAAATTAAGAAACAAGTATAGAGATCAGATTCTTATCTAAAATGGAATAAAACTTCAAAAAATATATATTATTATTTAAGAATTAAGAAGTTACTTAGTTCTAAGAGATGTGAGAATTACCTAACGTTTAGTAATTCTATTCTAATTCTGAATACACTGGTCTCTGGGTTTTGGTACCAAATGGGACAAATGTTAGTATGATGAAAAGTACCCTTAGTACGACTTTTACAATTACGAAAACTATGATAGTTTTCGTGAGCTCCGTGAACTCCTATTAAGGGTACTGATTTTATTGTTTTCTCTACAATACAAATAAACAGTGTTTAAATTCTATCATTAAATCATTTGCGTCTTCTTAAATTTTAAGTATATTTGGTTACATTTCACCAAAATGGACATAGATACATAATTAACAATTACGAAAACTATGATAGTTTTTGTGAGCTCAAACTCGTACTAAGGGTAAATATGCATTTTCCTGCCATAGAAGTTTCTTTATATGTTATCAAGAATGTTTGTCTATGCTCAGTTTGGGACTAAATCATTTTATTGTTGTGAGTGTCCAATGTCTATTAAAATAAGCATATTTAGCTATTATAGGCATAAAGTACAAACCTAGTTTCTGAACTCTCAGCATGAAGCACTGCCATACATTCAGGACAAACCCAGCTCTTTTCAGGTTTGATCTTGCTTCTCTCCACTCCGTTCAAACATTTAAAATGGTAGACTCGGGGGCATACAGTGCAGGTCATGGGAGGGTGGGTTTTCTCATTAGGAGCTTGCTCCACAGCCCAGTGGCACCTCCAGCAATAAGGGTCTGAACGCAGCTTACTAGTATTTTCCTGAACCTAAACATACACAATATTTAATACATAGATATTATAAAACAGATTTGAAAGTGTCAGTAGAAATAGCACACCATTTTTCACTCAATTGTTATATGAATAAAAAAATCATTTAATTCATTGTTACTAAAATCTTGAATGGCAGCCATTTTGTGAATCTGTTTTTAACATGTCATTTTAATAATCATACAGGATAAAACAAATGAAAACTACCTTCAAAAATAGTTTAATTCTATTCTCATACCTTTTCCAACCAAAATATAAAAACTTTGAAATTAAACGCATACTTACAACATTTTCAGCTACTTTCTTCTTTTTAGGAGAACTAGGCAAGTGAGTTGATTTAGGTTCCTTACTTTTGTTCTCTTCTAAATCTTCATCTGTCCCATCATCAGACTCCTTTTGAACCTTAGAAGTGACAGAATTCAAAAACTGCTTTACCTTATTGACAAACTCAGGATTTTGAGACCTCATTGAACGTTTTACTGCATTTTTTTCTGATTTCTCACTGCAAGTGCTCTTCTGTGAGTTATCACTGCTGCGTCTCGTATCAATTATTTTGCTTCCTTCAACTGATACATTGACACTAGAGTTTGAGGCATCCAATGGAGCTCTGGATTTCCTAGTTTTGCTTGTCAGCTGTGTACATTCGCTAATAATTTTTGATTCTTTAGCCGAGTTGATCAGTGATTTCAATTCCCTACTTATACTTTTATTATGTTCTTTCTCAGATGATTCAGAGTGTGTTTCTGATAGTGATTCATTTGTAGCTTCTTTATCAATAGAGTCAATATTGGAGATACTGTGTTTGGAGTTTGATACATCATCTATATTCTTTTCAGTCTCATCAACTTGCCCATTTAAAGTTAACTTTTCAGAAAGCTGATCTTCATTTGATGTTGTTTGTACTGTTATTTGAGTTGGTTCATCTTTATTTGTGCTCATTTTAGGTGACTCTTGAGTTTCATTTTCTGCAGGAGAGTCCAATGATTGTGTCTTTACAGGATTAATGTGTTGAGATATTTTAGGGTCAACATCTGCCACATCAAGAGTGGAAATTGCAGTCTTAGTAGGTGTATTTATAGTGACTAGTGATTTCTCTGGTGTGTTTGGAGTCTCAATCTTACTGGAGGAATCAACCACTGCCTCAGATTGATCTGGAGTAATAGAAACTTCCTCTGACATTTTTATAGGGCTAACCTTACAAGGTGACTGGGTTAACTGTGGTTTGAGAGGCGTTTTTTGTGTCTCGATTGCTTTGTTAGGAGACTGTGATACCTTCTGAGATAATTTTTTGGGAGAACTAATTGGTGATATTGTTGTACATGTATCAGTCTCACTTGATGCAATAGGAGGCAGCAAATCACTCTGCTGTGAGGAATTATCTTCATCTTCACTTACTTTCTCTACTATCACAATCATCTCTACGTTACCATTAGACCCTGTCACCTCCTGGGTTTCAGAAACATCCTCAGTAGTGGAAGATACATCCGTCTCCATATGAGCTTCTGTACTCTCCTCCATCACCTGCGATTGAAATGTTTACAACTATTGTCAGTATGGGCATTGTTGATTGATATCGTTATGAGGCAACAGAAACACTTACCGGCATTTATGACAATTAGGGTATCAGACCCATACACTAACAATAGATTAACGAATATCGAAAGAACCGGTCATGCCATTCATTACCCAAGCTCAGATACCCAGTCAGTTACATAGATACCTACTCTCAGTACGACCATACAAAACACAATCTTACCTCACGTTGTCGTTTCCACTATATGCTTGATTTATGCGGTATATCTTTCTGACCGTCTCAGGTATTTCAACGTAGATTCGGTTTACCATTCATCTATTACTTAATTAACTAATAAAATGCAAGTCAAAAATATTCACATTCACAAACGAAGAAAACCACACTCACATCGCCATCGCAAGTGTGTTTCTTACTTCACTCGTGTATTTTGGTTGGTTGGCTTTGTTGGCTACATTGTATTATTGGCAAAACGATGTTACCTGACTACATCTCGTTTTAAGATGTCTCAATATGAATCTTTATTTCTTGAAACATATAGTTCAAAATTGGTTAACTGCAATAAAAACATTCTCTCGTTCTAATCAAAATGAAAACAATATTGAGTGAAGTTCGCCCAAGTAATCTGCAAGAGCGTAAAAAAAACATCTTGGTGAAAGATTATTTGTGAATAATTTAATAAAATAATGTACATTTAAAAACAAAAGTAATCGGTATGTTACATATTTTCGAAAATTTGTAGTTTTGGCTAAAATCATAATAACCAAGAATTCACAACAATGAACGAAACGCAGAGTTGCCAAGTTTCAGAGTGGCCACCTTACTTGTAAATTCCAAATATAGTTGGAAAGTGCTGCTCGGTCGCATTCGCATTTGTATGTTAAGGTGGTTTTCCAATTACAGAGCATAATGCGACTCATATATATATAGAGAGAGAAAGAAAATGTGCACGCGCACTAATTTCTCTTGTGTATATACCCCACTCATCTTCCGTTCGCCTCGCCCGAACATACTTTCGTATAGCGTAAGGGTGCGGCCAGAGTGCACTCAGATTCAGAGTCAGATTCAGATTCTGAAAACAAGCGCGAGAAATAAACAGTGTAGTCTAAGCAGGTTGCCTGCTTTTTCTCGCGCTTTGTTTTCTGAGTCTGAATCTGAATCTGAATCAGGAGTGCAATCTGGCCGTACCCTTCGACTAAACTAAATAAGTTGCACTTCAAAAATATAGTGTTAGGATACTAGAACTTCATTTCTTTTCAACATCGTAGCAGTATTAAAATTAAATAGGTATTTAACGGAACTTTTCATGCGTGAAACTGAAAAACACTGCCGACGTCAAGCTAAAACGCGGCTAAATGACAAAACCAACTTTTGAGATATGACCAAAAAACGCCGGGTAAACTTTAAACTATTGCTATTTGGTAACCATTCATTACATGGCGGATTTTTAGACTTAAACTATAAAAGATACAAATTCATGTTAAAGACGGATCGATAGAGAATTAAAACCTGTATAAATTGCAATTTAAAACTGAAAAATTGACCACATGTCGCTTAGCCGCACTTTAGATTGCGGACGGCAGCACACCAAGCCGATTTTTTTTATTTGACTATCAGGGGCGTATTTACTCTTGATTACTGTTACCATCTGACAGGCTTGGGCATTTTACGGTTTAGACAGGAGTGCGGCTGGCGCTAAGCTGAGACAAGCATTTTTTAATTTCGCGTGTCAATCACGTAGTCACGACATGCATGCACCATGCGTAGGTGGCAAGTGTGCGTGGGCCATGCAAGCAGTAAGGAAAAACGAGATAGCGCGAATTTGCGTTGTTTACAATAATACGTTGAATACATTGTTTACGTGGACCGTACGAATAAGAACGGCTGATAATTATATTAGAGTTAGCTTTAAAGACTTTTCGAAGATAACGAGAAATTTCACAGCACGTTATTCTAACAAAGAATATACAATATTATTTATGGAAATAGCCCCCTAAAACGACTTGCGAAATGAGAATCTTCTTTTCTTTCAGAATAATAAATATATGATCCAGATGGTAACCAAGTCTATGGATTAAAAATCTACATTTACATATATTTTGGGTAATATGAGTTATAATAGCTACGTGCAAACCCAAATGTCACTCTATTGCATGTGGTAAATTGGTATTTATTTCTTAACAATGTTATATCGAGTTGAGATTCATATTATTATGGATCAAAAAAGGTTTATACAGGTGTTCAACACATGTGAAGTATGACATTTTGTCATTTTTGACGTAAGAAAACCGCGAAGATTCTAAACAATATTCAAACTTATGTACTAACAATAAGATCTTTATCCATTTTTAATTTACCTGAGCTATACTTATTGAAAATCTTAGGAAAAGTCATGTACATTTCAGCGGGTAAATCTCTTTTACGTACCAGAAAAAAAATGCTGTAATAGCTAATTGACAGTATGAAAAATAAAGTACTTATTGTTGGCATCTGCACTGAATATGAATATTATTCTAAGAGAACAAATAATTAATAAATCTTCAAAAAAATAATGAAATAATTTTTTCTATAGCCACGTGACCGAAAACGCCTGGTATTGGCGACGACTAAAATGACGTCACTCGCTAGTAAACTTCCGGTTAAAGTGTCATTTCATTCATTGTATCGTTTGAAGTTTTAATGATAGATGATAGTCGTGTGACGTCACATACCAGTGAGATGCCATAATGAGAATTTGGGGTAAATAACTTTTAGCAGTTGGTATATCACCTTTATTTGACGTAACATGGAAATAGTGACTGTCAGTGTCAGTTATTTCAGTTGAATTAAGGTTGATTTTGAGTGGTATATTTTAATAGGCACTGCACTAAAAAGCATTTTAATGAGTATTTTTCATCACTCAGATAATTGTTGCTGATAATTTTTTTGATTTAATTTTAAGTTATGGAATTTATCGAGCTTATATTAATAAATAAGTTAGATGGAGTTATCCTTAAGTATCCACATAATGAAAACGTAGATGGAACAGTGTGTATTACTGGGCATCATCTTATTTTAAGTTCAAGGAAAGAAGGCGTTCGAGAATTATGGGTAATTAAATTGTATTCGTAACGCATAATGATTGTCTCTTATTATTGTTCATATATTTCGTTATCATTGATAAAATTCACTTCAGGTATAAAAAGATAGGAAACTTAATAACTACAATAATAAATGCATTTAGTTAATTTTGCCGGACACTACTTGAACATAAAATTTCAACGACGGCTCATCGGAATCGCCGGAAGCGGCCTCAACATTTTTACATATTTTTTTTCTTTCAACCATTTGAATTTTTTCTGACATAAAAATTCTTGGTCTAAACATTTTAAAGCCTTTCTGGTGAACTTCCAAATGTCACCTCAATTAGGACATGTACCGGGGAAATATGTGCAGATGACAGCCTAAAGTAAACTTATAACTTACAGTGCTATAATTTTCATACTAGTGTAAATTAGCAAAGCTCAGATATTTGTGATTATAATAGATCATGATGATCTAACCACAGCTATACTGAGTTAATTTCGATTAAACACATAATGACGTCATGCGTACTATTATTTTCAGCTTCTTCACAAAAATATAGATAGCATAGAGAAAAAAGAAAATAAGCCAACTGGCGGTATAACACAGGGAGGGTCACTATTTCTGAAATGTAAGGATCTGAAGATATTTCAACTGGATATTGCATCTTCTACAGATCTAAATTTGATGGCCCAGACCTTAGAAAACCTGTCAAGTCTCCAGGATCCAAGTCTATACTATCCATTCTTTTATAGACATATGCATCCAATTGTTGAAAATGGATACACATTATATAGGTAAATAAATATGTTTATATCAGTACTTGTTGTACTGATGTTGGGCTAAACATAAGTTACGATGAAACACTGAATTTAACAAGGCAATTATTGATCTCAGGCCCGTATTACAGAATGACAACTAAGTATTGATATTTACTTGAGTACAGTTAGAAAGGGATGTCGCTATGTGCTATATATAGCGACATCCCTTTCCAACTATGCTCAAGACTAGATCAATCACTGAGAATCTTTCTACAAGGGCCTCAGAGACAAGAGACAGGGGGTTTTCTTAATGGTACATAAAAATTGGAGAAATAAAAAGTATTGTCCACTGAATTAAATGACAAAGTAAAGTTTATTTAAACATCATTTACACTACATAGAATGGTCTTGAAATAATACATTATTATTTTTGTGATAAAGAGTAATTTTAGAGTATAATCCTCTAGGCTCTACTTCTATATAAATAATAAGAATTTAATCAGGTTGGTTTTTTAAATACCTAGAATGGAAAATGTTTATAAATAATCTTTAAAAAATTCATTCCAGTGTAGAGGAAGAATTTACTAAAGTGTTGGCAACAGAAGAATGGCGAGTGTCCAGAGTTAACCAGAACTATGCAGTCTGCAGTAGTTATGGAAAAGCAGTAGTTGTGCCTAAGAGCATAGACGATGAGACTCTAGCTGCTGCTGCCACTTTTCGTCAGGGTGGAAGGTTTCCTGTACTTGCATATCGGCATAATAATGGGGTAAATAATTGAGCATATTTTTTATAATGAGGCAAATCCATTTAATGGATAGAATAGACAAAAACTATTACCTACTATTTCTAAAATCTATTTAGAAATAAATAAATAAATATTTCCAACACTCACACCCATTAGCCTAGCCCCAAAGTAAGCACTGTAGGCTTGTGTTATGGGATGCTAGGGTAATGTACTATACATATATACGTATAGAATACATGTATGTACTTATATATATTTATATAGAAAATACATTATAAAGATCCATGAATGGAGTACAAATGCATGTATTTTTTACACAAATATCTGCCCCCACCGGAATTAGAACCCAGGACCTCTCGAGTTGGCAGCACCATGAAACCCGGCGTACATACCACTCGGTCACGGAGGTCGTCAAAAATATGTAGATTTAATGTAGAATCAATTTTTTTTTATTTGTTTTAGTGGAACAAAATTACTTTTTTTGTAGCAAGCATGGTTGGTGCATTCAGCCAATGTGATATAAAAAAAAACTTAATGTTAGTGTTTATTGTGATTGTCTGGTAATTTCTTGTTGAATTCTTGCATTGGCAAGACAAACAATATTGAGTTCACACAGTTTTGTCTTTATATTAAGAAAAAATATTTCGTATCAAGTATCCAACAACATATATAATATATGTAGTTGGATAATTATATATGATATGATATATTCTTTAATTTTGCTTGCAGGCAGTGTTGATGCGCGCCGGCCAACCACTGTACGGTCCGAAGCATCGGCGTTGTAGGCCAGATGAGGCTATTTTGAACACAGTAGTAGCTGTCGGTACTAAAGGCGTTATATACGACCTGCGAAGCTCCAATTTAATATCACAGCAACAAAACAAAGGTTAGTCTCCTAATTTGTGCTAAAAACCAAATTTCACTTTCAATCGCAGTGAAGTGTGTTGGCTTGATTGCGGGGAGCAGTAAAGTGAGTCTGCTCAATTGCATGGCGCAGTGCAGTGTTACATAATTATGTCTTGTAGCTTTGTAAGAAATATTAAACTT